CGAAGGTGGAGGGTGGTCATTCTAACACTAATGTTCCGAGTGACTATGATTGTTATGGAACCCAACAGTGTTATAGTAAGTTGAGAGGCATGAACAAATCATTTAAAATTAGTATCGAGAGAGGTAATGGAAACCCTTTTGAATCAGTCACTTGTCAATGGACGCCACACTGTTTGTGCGGGCCACTATTTTGTCAAGTCCTCAGAGTCTTGATAGGAACCACCCTGCTTTGCGTGTTACTTGAACCTACACCAGATTGAATATGGCATGCCTGAGCTTGAGCCGTTTATGGAGCCTAATGCTTCTGGGTCGTGCTGGCTTTTGTAAGTGGATGGATCCGATCTCTTATAATTGGTCATTGGTGCATTGCTTTATTAGAGCTTTGGCCATATTAGGATGACCACATGTGGCTCAAACTAGGATCCTTTTAATTTGCCTTCTTTATTTCAAATTAATATTTTGAAATTAAAGTTGCAAACCAAATTTTGTTTTGCATTAAATCTAAGCTTTTGCAGTACCTGTGATATGTTGATAGCTCCATATGCTGATAGATTGAGACTTTGATGCTGAGCAGTACAATGTCTAACGATTGGATATTGTTTGGAAATATGCTACCCACCCACCATATCTTAATTGTTAGCCAAGAACAAAGATGGACTCCCCTTCCCCTTCTATGCATTTTCCTGAATATAAATCGATGAATTGTTGGGGAAATAAATAAAAAAGAATTAGTTAACTAGTTAATCAAGAACGTAGAAAAAGGGAGGGAAGTGGGTGGTGAGTTATAATCTTCTTACTCTTTGACTGATGTGCTGCTTGAGCAACAATCTTTTGCAATTCAATTTAGTCATAATTCCTTTTCCTCTATGTCATATGTATGCATTTTGCGCAGAAACCTTGAAAGGCAATGCACATCCTGAGTCTTCAATTTTGGGAAATTTGGCTGGGGAGTTTGGTTTGATGAAAGTGCAGGAGAGAGTGACTCTACCATATGCTGTGGGTTTCAGGAGCTACATTCATTCTGGACGGCAAACTGAGGATGAGGCAGGAAGAACTTCTAGATCCATGGACTTCGTCCGGGATATAATTCAGGGAAACGGATATAATCCAATGGGCAGACCATCACTTTCTCAGCTCCATCTTGAGCAAAATGCTGATATCGTCCATGTAAAGCTGATGCGAAACAATACCTTTATAACTGTTACGGATTCTAAAGGGAACAAAAAACTGGGAACTTCTGCTGGAAAATTAGCAACAAAAGGAGGTAAAGTCTCTCGATACTCTGCTGAAGCAGCTGCAGAAGACATTGGACGTAAAGCAAGGGAGATGAAATTGAAGTCTGTCGTTATGAAAGTGAATGGATTTACTTATTTCAAGAAAAAGAAGCAAGCTGTTCTAAGCTTTAGAGAGGGCTATACTCATTCACGGGGTGATCTGAATCCAGTTGTATACATCGAGGACACAACTCGGAAGCCACATAATGGTTGCCGTCTCCGAAAGAAACGTCGCGTGTAGTTATTGCAATTTTGCGATCTCATGCATGTGGTGCCGATGATAGAGATGACTATTTTCAGTTAATAAGGTGCGACTTGTTGCGTGATTGCACTGGAAGAAAATTTATTTAAGTACTATTACTGCTTATCTATAAAGCCGCAGATGTAGTGACTAGTTGATGGGAAAAAAAAAGAGTTTGAGTCTGCTTCTATTGGTCTATTTGTACTTCTTCTTGACATTCCAGTTCTGTATCTGTTAAGTCTGATATATTTCGTTTTGATTGATATTTGAATTTTACCTGTAGATTGTAGAGCATATGTATTTAGGTTTTCCATTACCTGCCAATTAAAGTTGCGGAATGGTCATAACCCAGATTAGAAACCTCAAGTAATTTATGGATGTAAAAGCTTAAATCTCCCTCTGCAAATTCATGAAAATGATCTAAAATATTGGGATCTTTACATACATTTCCTGCAAACAAGTGTGCTTTTTCTAATTATAAAAGGGGAGAGAAGGATTTTGCTCCTCCCCAAACAAGGATCAAACACATTCCATTAGTTTTGAAAGGCTTTGCTATTATCATTTGAACTAAACATTGACCTTTAGGAAGGTGTACTTGCTCAACAAAAAACTATATTCATTGGAAGCTAGTGTTCAAAGATCAGATAATGAAGGTGCACACATGACATCATTTAGGTTCGTTTGGCATGACTTTTGAAATAAAAGCTGCTTCTGAGATTAAAATGCTACTTTTGAATATGTTTAAATAATTTTCTTAAAACGTTTTGTCTGACTAGAAGAGTTTTCTAAAGAGGTTGGTTTAAGTTAGTTTTCTCAAGAAACTCTTCTATAAGAAGCAAAATCAAAATTCTTGTCAAACCCCTTGATATAAAATTGCGAGTGGGTGTGGGAAGAAAGGTGGAACATGTGTGAATGATTGGGATACCATTATTGTCGCCAATGGGTTATCTCATTGTTACCATATTCTGAATGAATAGCCAAGTTCTATAAATCGGAAGTAATGTGATGACATGCTTCTGAATCAACAACCCAATTGATGATATTTTGCCGGTTATTGCTGGAATAATATGCGTCTTCATAGAAACTCGATGGAGGTTTAGACCTACAATTCTTAGCAGGGCCGTGCAACTTGAACAAGGCCACGTAGGCCTGTTCAAATAGGGGTGCCAAGTGGATAGTAGTCAAACTCAAGACCGAAATATAAGACTAATGTTAAGCATACACTCAAGTATCTTTATAGAATTAGAGACTATTTATTTATTCAGCTTCACATCATATGCCTGCGAGTAATATTGATTCTAATTTTCAAGTTGATAAGAGACTCTCTAAGTCCACATCAGGATCATTGTTCAAATTGGGTAATGGTGTAGTGGTTTGAAGGGTATCAGTCAATCTTGTATTGTTGATTCCATCATGGAGGCAACGTACATGACAACTTATGAAGCAGATGAGGAGGCTATGTGTCTAAGAAAGTTTTTGCTACACCTTGAGGTCGTTCTTCCTACATCTCACTACTTTGTAACATGATAACAATGGCGCGGTGACAAATACAAAATAACCAAGCTATCAACATGAAAAATATATTGAACGAAAGTATCAACTGGTCCACGAAATCGTTCAAAGAAGAGATGCGATAGTGTGCAAGATAGAACCTGCCAAAATTCTTATTGAGAGAAAGGGGCCTCTTCTATTTTGTGTCCTTTAAATGAATTATTATTATTTATTGCCATAATAAAATCACATAAATTTTCGTGAATTGTTGCCTTGATAAAAAGAAAGATCAGCTGAATCCTCACCAACCACAGACAACACTGCAAATGCATACTCAAAAAGATATATAAATTTGAAGGATCGTCCCCCGGGGCATAGTTCAATAGTGCAAAGGACAGGAGTGATGTGGTCTTAGTTAAGCTGGCAGGTGTAGTGTGAGAGTTCGATTCCTGCCTTTGACAAGGTATGAAATTGGATTTTTTGTGGACACCAGTATGGCAACTCTTGTACCAGGACCTGTTGAGGTACATCCCGTGATTTACCTCCTCCACAATGCTCTAGGGGCGAGGCGGTAGGGGATCCTCAAAATTGGGGTTCAACCTTTATAAATGTGAAGGATCAAATCAAATGGACTGTTCTATAACATCAAGAAAATAAATGAATCTAAATTTCATTCTTTGGCCTACCCTTTTGTCTAAAGTCTTGGTAGGGTATTATTTAATGAGGAAATTACACCAAAGTATGGGCTCTTTCAATGCAGTGTGAGAAAACAATGTGCCTTAGACAACTTCTTTGACTTCAGCTCCCAAAAGGATCCCTCTTTAACCACCATAATGAATAGAAAGCAAATAAAGTTGATACCGTTTATTATTGATGCAACATTTTGTGGATTCTTGGTGGATATGAGGGGTCCCTCTTCACGAACTATTTCCTTATCTCTTTTTATCTTTTGCACACTAAATAAATTGCATCTGTGGTGGGATAATCTTACTTTACGAAATTTACGAAGATGCTAAATAGGGTGATTGTCAGCATTCATTGATTCGTGCTGCATATTATTCATTTTTAAGTTTACTAGATCGAAAATTAGATGCATTATGATTTTTTTTTTTATCAAATTAAAGTTTTTATTGATGCTAATGCTTGATGGTTCATGTAGAATTTTTCCATGTTTAGCTAGAGCCAACAGATGGGACATATTGCCAAAATTTTTCTTGGTTACTATGCTTTGACATGACTGAACAATGACACCTATTAGTCCCTTACATAGGCATGCCATTTTGTGAGCCTGTGGGGATAAAGGGTATTGAGTTCTATGATTAGGGATTGACACTTGAAAAATGAAAACTATTTCCATTTTTTTTTAGGACAAGAAAAAGTTTATCATTACATTTCAACTGATTCTTTGGACAGAAGAAAGCATTTACTTTTTCTTGCAGACAATAAGAGGACAAGGCCAATCAGAATATTTGTATGGCCCTTATGTCTCTTATATATGTTTCCATTTAGTGGAGAATCTATAGAAAATTACCAAGTTCCAAATTAATCACTTCGTGACAAAAATATGAACATACTTTAGCAGTATGTTTGATACAATGGACATGACATTATTACATAATATCAAGGAAGAAAAATAAGTGAAAAATCTCTTACGTTGTATGCAATCATCCATTACTAAGTACTAATCGTGCTCCTAGTGCGGTAAATCATTTTTGGGGATGACACTTATGTTCTACTCTAATACTGTGAGAGCTTGTCACTTATGATGTAGTCTAAATTTTTTTGAGGAGAATAATCAAATTATTGCAAGTGGAAGGAATGTGACAACTTTCATGGCACATCTTTTTTGAGGACGTTCTTGAATATATATTCTTTTCATGTACACACTCATCCTCTACCTTCACTCCATGATTTAACACCAAAAACATTTTTATCATTTTATACATCTGGTAGAGTAATTGATGAGAGTAGTGTTGGACAGGCTTGTCAACTATTTATTCTTTGGTCCTTCTCTTTGCAAGGGTTCTTATCCATCCATATCTAAACTTTGCACCTTCTAACTTTGTACCCACATTGTGTTTACTAGATCTCCTCCATCTGCTGAGCTGGAAGAGGTAGCCAATCCGCCTCCGCCACATTAGCGTTCTACGCAGCTTCTCTTGCTCTACTACACTCTTGATTTTCTTGGTTGTGCCCTTGTCCCAAGAGGCAACACCATTGTCTTCAAACTTGATCGATATAAAGGCTTCTGCAATGGGAGAAAATCTTAAGTACGATAATACGAAATACTAGATAAGATAGTTAACGAACAAATTTGTAATTTATTTTTCATTTTAAATATTGTCCATTATGATTTAGTCCTCAGTGCCAAACTTCCCAATCAAAGGAAAGAAAAAAGAATGCAACTTGACTATTACATATAACAAGAATATAACCATATCTTATAGAGTTGAATTCTTGGTCCCACATAAAAATAACTAAAATGATTATGCAAAAGGATAATCTTTTATGCATTATGCCATTTGATTCCCAATCTTTTGCTAAGAATAAAGTTGATTAGGCAATGTGAAACAAGAAACTATGGGGTCCTTAAAGATTTATAGCACTAACCTGCACTAGTTTAGGAAAGTTAATTGCACAAAAATCTTGTACAGATATATATTGAGCCCCTGTTTGGTTCACTAATAATCAGAAAAATTGATGGAATATATGGTTTAAAAGATGATAAAAGTTGTGAATTCCATGAAACGTGCGATGAAAATGAGTTTTAAAAAATGAGAGCCAAACGTGGGCTAAGTACATGTTGAAGACTTCGAGTGTATGCGTAAGCCATAATCACATTGCTAAATGCTAAATTCATCAAAGTATATAGGCTATCAAATATATCTGGTCCCAAGCCTGGTAGAAAGGAAAGTTGAGTTCTTTAATACTCAGCGTAAAACCTTGTTAAATCTTATGATATGAATCTCTCAATCCAATACTTTCACTAAAATCCATGCAAAGTATGCAAGACTCTAAACTTTCTTTCTTTTTATTGTTTCTTCATCAATGTAATATTTCCTTTATGGTAGTAGTCAAGAACATAAACATAAACCCACAAAAAAAGGGAAAAAATAACACATACAAGAGGAGAGATTTCGTAGAATTAAAGGCCTAATGTTCTATTTCCGATCGAGAGGATTAACAACACAAAACACAACGAACACACTTTTTCTAACCTTCTCGACTGCTGGAGGAACTAAGACAATAGTCGGATTTATGGTGTCTGATTTCTTGGCCATTTAGTGCAAAAATCTTGGGCAAGGCCATGGATGGTTTCTTTGGTTGTTGAATACGTCCTTGCTTTGAAGCCAAAACTAAAAGCCTTTGATTCAAGCACAATGCACAAACCCCCACAACCAACTCCTTGGGATGAAAATAACACTTATTCATTTTACTCTTTGGGTAGATGATGGGGGTGGGGTTCAAGAAGAACTAGTTCACTAAAGAAAAAATAAGGAGTGTGCGTGTGTTTTGAGTAGAAAACACAAGATTTAGTGTGTGAATATGTTTATATAGAGATAGATATGCTATATATATATATATTTATGGTGCAACTTAAATCAATAAGGTAATAAATTCAAATGTTTGATAGGAACATTCCACCAATTTATAGTGATGTATTATGATTATAAGTAGGTGTTTAATAGCTATCTATATTGCCTCATTGCATTCATGTCGATGAGCCCCACGGTTAGGCGACAATTATGTCTTCTAAAGCAAACCCTTGGTTTCTTTCTTTCTTTCTTTCTTTCTTTTTTGCCCTTTTTTGGTGGATGGTAAGCGAACATTGGCCCAATTTTCTTATGTTTAGTAGAACTTGAACGAACCTATATTATCACAATTTTTAGCGTTAAAAACGTGATCACTCCTATACTATGTGCCTTGCAGCGTCTTGCTCTATCTTGTTGGAGACTTTTAAGAAAGATCGAATGGATTAGCATTTTGTAATGCATTACATTGATCAGCTATAAGTATCTATAATATCTTCAAGTTTTAAAAAAGTATTGCTCTTATCTTCTTTGAGGCTATTAAAATAAAATAAAAACTAAAAAACACTGGGCTTTTAATTAGTTATTCATTGTCTTCCGAAGATTTTTACTCAATAATTGGACTTCTTCAAGTTTTAAAAAAGTTTTGCCCTTATCTTCTTTGAGGCTTTTAAAATAAAATAAAAAATAAAAAAACACTGGGCTTTTAATTAGTTATAGATTGTCTTCCGAAGATTTTTACTCAATAATTGGACAAAAAATTATTGTTTTGATAAAATTTAGAGAATGCTATCTAAGCATCAGTTTAAGTGACATTGGATGCCCCACTTGTTAAAATTTAACTCATTGGACAAGTTTAGGTAGGCATCCACTGTCACTTAGACTGGTGCTAAATGCTAGATAACATTATTCAAAGTATAAGTTGATACTCAAGTTATTTTAACTTTTTTTCTTTATTAAAATATGGGAACTACTTAGAAACATTGACCAGATGAAAATTTTAACTTGTTATTACTATTCATTGGAATTGGAATTGAGCTAGAGGAGGTTGAAACTCTCATTTGGAGTCTTGGCTTTGCATGCAATTGGATGTACGTTGTATGCGTACGTAAGGCACATGCTCTCACAACAGCAACCACAAACTCCTTAGACTCCGAGGGGACACTATGTAATATATTGACGTGTTTATAGTGTTAAAAATTGGGGGTTCCATTTTAAAAGGTCAACCTTGTTAAGAGTAGTAGCACAATCCTTTATAAATTAGTCTATATTTTCATCTTTATTCGGTGTGAGATTATCTCCCTTAACATGCCTTTTAAGATGAAACCTTAATTCTTAACATGATATCAGAGCCCATTAAACTCTAACGAACAATTCGATTCGGTTAAGACTCCAAAAGTGAGCATACAGATTTCAAGATTGATCTGCTCAAATGAGCCACCATCTTGCGGGGGCATGTTAAAGGATATAATTCCACATCGAATAAAGATGTAAACATAAATCAACTTATAAAGGATTGTGTTACTCCTCTTAACAAGGTTGACATTTTAAAATAGAACCCCCAATTCTTAACATGTTAGAGCTTAATCAACTTTAATACCATGTTAAGAATTGGGGGTTCCATCTTAAAAGGTCAACCTTATTAAGAGTAGTAGCTCAATCCTTTATAAATTGGTCTATGTTTTCATTTTTATTCGGTGTGAGATTATCTCCCTTAACATGCCCCCACAAGATGGTGGTTCGTTTGAGCAGACCAATCTTGAAATCCTTGTGCTCATTTTTTGAATCTTAATCAGATTGAATTGCTCGTTGGAATTTAATGTTCTCTGATACCATGTTAAAAAATTGTGGTTCCATCTTAAAATGTCAACCTTATTAAGAGGAGTAACCCAATTCTTTATAAGTTGATTTATTTTTACATTCCTTAATATATAGTGGTTTTGGATCGAGCTACTTCGAGAAAAAGCTTAACCCACCTTGGGACTGGCATGCAAACTTAGAAGTGGAAATTACATGGAGCCTTCTTCAAGTTTTAAAAAAGTTTTGCTCTTATCTTCTTTGAGGCTTTTAAAATAAAATAAAAAATAAAAAACACTGGGCTTTTAATTAGTTATTCATTGTCTTCCGAAGATTTTTACTCAATAATTGGACAAAAAATTATTGTTTTGATAAAATTTAGAGAATGCTATCTAAGCATCAGTTTAAGTGACATTGGATGCCCCACTTAAACTTGTTAAAATTTAACTCATTGGACAAGTTTAGGTAGGCATCCACTGTCACTTAGACCGGTGCTAAATGCTCGATAACATTATTCAAAGTATGAGTTGATACTCAAGTTATTTTAACTTTTTTTATTTATTAAAATATGGGAGCTACTTAGAAACATTGACCAGATGAAAATTTTAACTTGTTATTACTATTCATTGGAATTGGAATTGAGCTAGAGGAGGTTGAAACTCTCATTTGGAGTCATGGCTTTGCATGCAATTGGATGTACGTTGTATGCGTACGTAAGGCATATGCTCTCACAGCAGCAACCACAAACTCCTTAGACTCCGAGGGGGACACTATGTAATATATTGACGTGTTTATAGTGTTAAAAATTGGAGGTTCCATCTTAAAAGGTCAACATTGTTAAGAGCAGTAGCCCATTCCTTTATAAATTAGTCTATATTTTCATCTTTATTCGGTGTGAAATTCTCTCCCTTAACATGCCTTTTAAGATGAAACCTTAATTTTTAACATAATATCAAAGCCCATTAACCTCTAACGAGCAATTCGATTCGGTTAAGACTCCATAAGTGAGCATACAGATTTCAAGATTGATCTCCTCAAACGAGCCACCATTTTGTGGGGGCATGTTAAGGGATATAATTCCACATCGAATAAAGATGTAAACATAAATCAATTTATAAAGGATTGTGTTACTTCTCTTAACAAGGTTGACATTTTAAGATAGAACCCTCAATTCTTAATATGTTAGAGCTTAATGAGCTCGAAACCATGTTAAGAATTGAGGGTTCCATATTAAAAGGTCAACCTTGTTAAGAGTAGTAGCCCAATCCTTTATAAATTGGTCTATGTTTTCATCTTTATTCAGTGTGAGATTCTCTCCCTTAACATGCCCTCGCAAGATCGTGGCTCATTTGAGCAGACCAATCTTGAAATCCGTGTGCTCATTTTTTGAGTTTTAATCGGATCGAATTGCTCGTTGGAGTTTAATGTGCTCTGATACCATGTTAAAAAATTGTGGTTCCCTCTTAAAATATCAACCTTATTAAGAGGAGTAATCCAATTCTTTATAAGTTGATTTATTTTTACATATTTATTCGATGTGGGATTATATCCCTTAACATATAATGGTTTTCGATTGAGCTACTTCGAGAAAAAGCTTAAACCACCTTGGGACTGGCATGCAAACTTAGAAAGGTCACCAATAAATGTAATGGGCTGGACCAGGTTCGTAAATGGGCTGTTCTAAGCTTCCTGCGAGAGCTCGACCTAGCCCAGCCCTTCTCGGCCCAATTAAGCATGTGAGAAACACACATTTTTCTACAATAAATAATTATCTTTTCAATATAATACTTCTCGAAACTAAGCAGTAATCTAAGTCAAAAGCCAGAAATTCTTATGCAATCTGGTGATGATAAGATATCCACTAACTCCTTCGCTTTGCTTCATTACTCCCATAGTTAAGCAATCCAATACATTTATGCATTGTTCTACAAATTCCTTTGTGATGCTCTTCAGGTAAAGGCTGCCCCAAAAAAAAAAAACAAAAATCATTATAGAAATCAACAAAACAGGAATGGGAAAACGGGAAAACGGTCTATGTAGTCGACCTTAAATTTATTGTAAAACCGCAAATAATCTTTATATAAATCAAGAAAATAGTACCTGTCGAGCTTAAAACTTCATCTCAAATTTATTGCAAAACCCACGAAAAAAAAAATCATTTGAAACCAGCAAATTAGTACGATAAAAAATGATTTATGCACGCAACCTTAAATTCATTGAAAAACCCACAAAAATAGAGTTTAGAAATCGATCTCAAATTCATTGAAAGACCCAATGCTAGAAGTTTGAAAACTCCCCTCAGGCTTACAAGCCTTACAAAGTGAGCCAAGTGTGGTGGCAAGGTAAGGAGAGCCACCACCACCAACACCACCACCGGCGGCAGAGGAACCCTTGCAAGAAAAAGGGATAATGTGAAAAAGAGTGAGAATATCACCCTTATTAGTTACATGAGTAAGTGCCCACATCATTGCATGCTTAGAATGTGAAGATTGATCCACCACCAACATTACTCTTTTCTTCGTTTCATTTCATTCAACATTCGATTCTCATTTCTATACATATAGTTAAATCCCTCCATTTGCCTCACTTTCCTTTTACCCACCACCATCGCAGCTGCGGTTGTTTCCACCACCATCCCACCTCCTTGATCTTGATTTCCACCCTTCCTTTCCACTTACCTGCCTCAAGAATGAACTTGAACTTTGTCTTTCGTTATTCTACCACCACCTTGTGTGCCTTGGACACACTTTGTTTGTTTGTGGCGTGGAACCAAAAAAAATTAAAATCACTTAAAATTATTGTTGCTTGTAGTTGATTGGGACAGAGAATGTGAGCATCACAATACAAACTTTAGCTAGAGAGTGTGGTTTATACTTTATTCAAACTGTTTAGTCAAACTTCGCGGGGTTTATTGTGACAAATTTGCTACCAGCAGCACCAACTTTCTTGCAACTTTCCAACTTTCTTATATTGCTACTGATTGATTTGGATTAAAATTCAATTAAAATTTAAATCAAAGTCAACAGTTAATTTTAACCATACATTTCATCATTTTTTATCAAAATATATTAAAAATCTGATTATAAACTCTACCAAATAGAGGAATTATATAAGACATTACTTAGCATGGCATGCTATGATATGGTATCCATACTCCCCACTCCAATTATCTTGTTTTTTAGATAGATTCTATCGTATTCTATTTTATCTTCCATTTTCTTCCTTTAACCCATAATAGTTGAAAATATGCTTTCATGGTTATGATGTGAGAGCTCAGGTGCAAATCTTTCTACTAATTTTGCAAATATACCCACATGCAAGGCATCGTGACACATTTTAAATTAGTACACATAAGAGAGAGGCTTGATTTCAATATATACACTTATTCATGAATTGTCTTATCTAAAGAACTCGGTACAACAACACATGCGTTTAATTAATTTTTGATTTCCGTTATATTATAGCTTTATAAAATTGAGCAAAACCAGATTAGGGATTCAGATAGCTTCGACATATCTGCTTCCCGTATAAATGCTCCCTTTGTTTAGTCATCGGAAGAGAATTTACAAGTCAACAAGTCCCATAACCAAGTCTTGACAAGGAGAAACTCAAGAAACAAGTAAAATCTGAAAACTTTGGAAATAAATACTTCTTTTTATTAATCAATTTCATTTGTATTTGCTTTTAACAATACAATTAAACTCCTTATAGCTATACAATGAAGGAAATGCGTACCTTCATCTTAAATGTAACTCTTTCTATTAATCAATCAGCATGTGTCAAATAAAATTAAATTAACAGCAGCTACTACAGTGAGTGGTCTGCCTAATCTCATCCTCCAATCCCTTCTTAAAGGCTATCTAATACCCCCAGTTGTGCTTGCGTCGCGAAGAAACTGCACTCAGCAACTAAGCAAATACTTACTACGTCCAAGCCTTTTAACTCTCCTCGATTAGACATTTATCTGAAAGATGGGACGAAGCTTTTACGTAGCTGTTGTGTTCGCCCATTAAGGATATTTGTTCTGCTAACATTGCTAACGAACCTGAACTCAAATAATGCTGTGCGACCCGTGCCCTGGAACATAACAACGACAGTGTGATCACATACGTGATTATCATAAACCAAAAAAGCATCAATGACTTTCATTTATGATAAAAGGATTCATTGAACAGAGGGCATGTACCTTCTTTGCTTTCTCTTGTCAACGCATTCAGATAAACGGCAGTCTTCTAATCTTGAAATCTGGCTTCATGTTGACAGCTATTCATGAAACGCCTCACCCTTTGCTGCCAGATACGACTTTGAGGGAACTACAGACTTGAGTACATAGTAAAGAGATGAGTCCATTTTGCTGCATGTCGGACAAAAAAGAAATTTAGAATTAGGCCATTCAGTGATGGCATGTATACAAACCAAAGTTGTAACTCAAAACATTATCTTATATTTATAACAGCTAGAAACGTGTAATGCACTTGCATCTTTGTGTGATCAATAACAAGGAAGGCAACATTTGGAGCATAACCACAAATGAAAATCAGGATCTCAAACCTCATACCTTCTTTAAGAGATGGGAACTTTTTGGTGGTTTCATCTTTAATCTTTCTTTCACAATGACTAACTAGTTTTCCCAGTTTTATCGTGCTTGCTGAGGACTCTAGCATCTCCAATGCCAAATCCACAGTGCTTACGGACCCCTTTTTTTTTATCCTAAAGCAGCAGTTTCTTTAGCATAATAGCACATTCCATGTTGAGCAAGAACAGACGACATCTGCAATTGATCATCACAAGAACTATATGAATGTGATTTCTCACAACAAATCATTGATGGCTCTAGAAAATCCTGCATTAAAGCAAAAAATTCATGAGCCATGCTAGTTGGACAATCAACGTTGACAACCACTCACATGGGGGGTCCACTTTTTT